AATCTTAAACAACAAGAAATTCAAGAAATCTTTCAATTTAATGGTAAAGAATTAGACCAATTTTACACTACAGTCAGACCTCTAAATGTCGGTTCATGGTATATCCTTGAGAAAGTTGGGTTCGAACCAGTACAAGCAGAAGTTTTAATTGATTTTGAAAGTAAAGGTTATGATTTACCATCTTTAGATAATTTGCTAAAATATTGTGAAAAACTTGAAGAATTTATTGATAAACTTTATTACAATAAGGATATAGAAGCTAGTAAGCTTTACATTCAAGAAAATGACAAAAAGTTCACATTTTGTAAAAATGCAGATGGTAGAATTAGATTTCATTATGAAAAAGCCATATAAAAGTAGATTAAGAGTACATGTATTCAAATAAAGGTGTTTGAGGAGAGTACCAAAAAAATTGGTTATTTATGCAATGATTGTCTATAATTGACAACAACTATATTATAGACATTTCACGCACAACTTATCCATTACTTCAATAGCTTCTTTTGGGCTTTGTTAGAATATACTCTAATTCAAGATAATATTAAATTATAAATTTACTTATATGCGTGAAAAAGCCAGAATTCTGTTTTTAATAAAAAGAAAGCATTTAATAAAAAATATGTTAAAGAAATTTTATTCTAAATTTGTATAAAATAATATAGTTTGTTTTTATTGGTTTTATTCTTAATTTTTTAAAAACAACTGCTTATAGGATTGCAGGATCTAGTATAGGCAAAAATTAAAAATCTTATCATGAAAACTATACTTCTAAGCATTGTTTGCACCAAATGTTCCATAAACACATAAACCCTAACTTAAGGCTAACCTTAACCAAAACCTTAAATTTTGTTAACTTAATAAAATATTTAATAGCAGGTAATTATGTATGGAAATTAGTTATAATCTAAAAGAATTCCTTAAAGACTCTCTTCCAATTCTTTTAAGCTTTCATCAGATAGCTTGTAATAATATATGTCATTTTCTTGTTTTTTTTCTTCAATTTTTTTGATAAGATCAGCCCATTCCTTTTTTGACATGTGTTTTAGTCTAGAAGGGTCAATGGACTCGCTATTATAAATGACCAACCAGCTCAATCTTTGAACAAGTATCAATGAACGCCTGGCAGCAACCATTTCATTTTTGATTATTGCTGGTTTACCTTTATGGTAAATTGTGGATGATTCTTCTAATATTTTATTCACACGGCTTGCAACTCTTTCACCTACTGCAAATTCACGATTCCAGTTATTTGCCTCTGGGTTGATTTCTTGTTTCTCTTCATCATCTTGATCGATCACAGTGATAAATGCGGGGGTAATGAATTGGTCAGATTTCTTTAGTTCCTTTATCTTTTTCGTTAGCTCAAATGATATACACGCTAATTCGCAAAGGGTATAGATGTATATGACTCTTGAATAATGGTAATTTGCTTCGTTATTGGCTATTTTTTCCAAATATTTTTGATTTGACTTTCGATATTAATATTTTCCTCCTCTTCAGATTGGCCGGCTTCAAAGGTTCCATGCACAACTGGCTCGTAAGGATCAGTATATGAACGCAACCCTAACTACACTGCAATTTAATAATAATCTATTTGAATCTAAAATAGAGAAGAAGCTAAAAGAGTTAATTCATAAAAGAGTTGTAATGGTTTAATAATTTTTTGTTGCAACCTATACTGCAAGAGATCCCCTCAAATAAATAAAAGGAATGAGGCTTTAAATATCAGCATGAAATATTATGACATTTTTAAGAATGTTGGCTTTTATTTTAATGCATTTTTTATAATTAAATTTTAAGTTTCCTAAAGTAAATAATGTTAAGAAATTGTGATTAGAGAGTCCAGATTAGAGTTAGCGTGTGTAGAATAGGTGTTCAGATTATGCGGTTTCGGCAAACTGAATTGAAACCGCATAATCTGAACAGTTATATTAAAAGTATTTATATGTATTATAGTAATCTATAACCCGGTTTTACTGTAAAAAGAATTGATTTAAGAAATTAACTATATAAAAAAGTTTAGTTTATCTGGTTCGAAAGGTTCATTACTTTTATTATTTGTATTGAGTATAAAACAACACAATATATTTCAATACTTAAAATTATTCAGTTAACTGCGTACAGTTTTACAATAGTTATGTTTATCGTGTATTTGATTCGAAATTTAGATTTTTTTTATATTAACTAGTTTTAACATATACAATGAATACGTTTATAAATTTATTATAAATTTATCAATTTTTGTTAGTTCAGATTTTTGGCAAATTCTGATTTTAAAAAATTAGCCAAATGTTATATAGCAAACCAAACTCCCCCCTCTATCCACCAAATCAAGATTATAAACATTATTCTTATTATTTTAAAATATCCGTCCGATCAGTCCTTTCAGAACACTAGCTGCCGCAACAAAATTGTTATGGCAGATCCTCGATTTTGGCCGTAGATCTGCAAAATTTTGGCCCACATTACATAATTGTTTACTAATTTCTGGCCGGAATTAACTTTTTAACTTTTTGTTTCAAAAATATAAATTTTTAAAGAAATAAGCCCGCACAATGTAAAATTGCTCAGTAATAACTTTAACTTAATGGGTGGCTGTGATTTCATTAGTAAAGGTTTCAGTAATTCTGGTCAAATTTTTTGACCATTGCTCTTTAGCTAGTCAAAATTGAGAATATGCCGTGACAATATTGTTGCGGTAGCTAGGGTTGATGGATATTATAACTGGGTAAAATTCACCACCCAAATTTTTTTCAGATCATGCGATATGATTTTAATGAGTATCGTCATTCTAATTTAGAATAATGTAATGAACCAATACTTTTATTAAAATCATATCGCGTGATTTGAAACGAATTTGCGTGGTGAATTTTATCTAGTTATAATAGAAATTTAAATAGCACTAGTATTCTGCACATGCTTTGCTATTTGCAATATGA